TACATCGGTTGAATGGCATGAATGACTGCAATATTTTGGGTCCGAAGTTCTAGGTTCAGATGATAATACCTAAGGAGTATTAATCTGCTGCGGGTGGTGTTTTAAAGTTAAACGTGCCAAAAAGTATCGTCAATATGGTCGTTTTACTTTTATAGACTATGGATTTGACAGACGCGTCTCGCTTTCGAAGAGAATTGTCGGAATTCTTTTTGTCTGATTTGAAGCATGTGTGTGGTAATGGTTGGTAAGGTTTTACTCATAGCGCTTTCCCTTGACTCAGTCCCTGCACTGAAGAGATTGATGGGTTTGTTGCACATGGTCTTGCCCTTTGTGAAACAGATTTATACCGGCTGAAATTTTTGTCGATGATTTACAAATCAGGTAGTTGTAATTGTTAATTTTTGCATCGTATCCTGTTAAGCCCATGCCTTTGTTAGTAAGGAAACATTGGAGCGAAATTTTGCGTTTCTTTTGGGTCTGCTCGGTGCTTTCCCAAGGTAAAGTTTAGTAATTATAACACATTTAGTAACTCGGGTTATGATGACTCACAAGTTACCCTGTGTCTACGAACGCTTTCTTCAATGCTATCAGTTTCCGCAAAATTAAAGTGTCCCCTTCCTTCTGGTGGCTTGGATAAATTAACTCAAATTCAAAGTGACCTTTTTGAACGTAATTGAGTTTTGTTTTATGTATGTTTATTTGTGTTAGATGTCACCTCTCTCAGTTGCTTACTAACTAACAGTGTCCTTCTGGCACAAGGTCTATGCTTTCTTGAGGAGGGATCAATTTGTGAGAAGGTATGACTACTATCAATAAACTATTTAGACTAGTTGAGTGAGGTCACTCTTGATAAATCAAGATTCTTCTCAAGATTATACAATCAGATTATGACGCGTTCAGACTTCCCATCAAGACGCCTGAGCGTTACTTTTGGCGTAATATCTGTCGTGTCAGACTCTGAATTCGCCGATATCGCCTGCAGTATGCTCCATCAAATCGCACCACAGGATGGGTAATTTTGATAATTTGGTGATTAAGTACATCCTATTTAATACGCAATCAGTTCGTTCGTGATGCAAATACTACCTTTTTGTTTTGATATCTTCCTCCTTTTTAAACCAAAGTTTCCTTGATTAACTATCTTAATGCATGCTTCTCATCTTTAGAAGTGATGACGCTTTTGTTGGATTACTTACAAGCTATTGCTTTCGTCAATGGAGCCTACGAGTTGTGTAAGATGTTATTATTGTCGTCACTATGTATTCCATAGGAAGTCTACCGATACATCTTTTATTAATCAGCTAACTTCGAATGATGAATTAGCGCCGATATTCGAGTTTATTTTTAACCACCAGAACGACCCAATTGACGTAAGATAACAAGTCTTTTCGGGTTCATTTTTAATGCTGCTTAGGCCGTTAGAGAAGCCTTGATGGATACTTTCGAGATACTTGTTAGTCTTCTCGCGATGTGTTCTCCTGCCACGGTTGCATCGCCGTTTCTGCAAAGTTTGCTGAACCGAGTCCTGGAACAGCCATTATGGATGCGTAATACTCTGATTCTTATTCATAGATTCTTTGCCTCTATCTTTAAGGAAACTAGTCAAACCAGCGAACAGGCCATCGAGTGGCTTGTCTTCGCAGGTTTTCCACTCATTTATATGGAACATCCAACTGATCTTTCTTTGTCCGCTACGCGTTCTTTTGCTCTGGGCTGCACCCTCATTAGCGCCGCAAATGATGTCGCTTTGTCGCAACCAGTACGCCTCCTTCTCTCGGGTGATCTTGCTTTTCTCATTGGGTTTATCGTTTACTAAGAGCTACATTTAGTGCCGCATCATCCTCCACTAGACTTCCAATTTTCAATCCTTTTAAATACGAAGTAGTCGAATTCTGGCCTTTTATTTCCCGAAATAAGTGATTGTGAGACGACAACTCTCCTCTTGGGAGCCTTTCTGACGACGGAGTTGCTAGTGTGTGGTGCTACAATTCTGCTTCTTTCTATAGGCGGGCGAGGTGTTTGCACTTCTTGCTTTACACTTCTCGTCGATGGAGAGCGAGGCCATGAGAGCGTGGTTCTTGGCCATTGTGTGGATGGCCAAACATCTTTGCGGAGTTCCTCATGTAAGATGGTTCCTTTTCAAGATGTTCTGCATTTCTGTTTTTTTTATAACTCTGTTTGTTCCTAGGCCTTCTTGGATAAAGTTTTCAATTTGGCTCCGACGCTCCCATCGGCATTGATTAAAAATTACTCCCAGTGTGAGTGGGAATTTCGGCCTATGACATTGAATGGGGTGGGCTGCGAATATATGGTTGCGTCATGTTTCATCATATTCAAGAGCATATTTTGAGGATGCATGCTCCTGGTTAAAACTTTGAATATGCATAAACATCTGCGGCGGTGCTTTAATACCGTGCTGGTAATAATGCATTTGTACTCACTTGTCAGAGAGGGTGTTATTCCGTTTTTCATAGATTTCACAGAGGAAGGTCTGTCGACTCTCCTACACTCCTATCGTTATTGCTTGACTAAAAAGGGACTCAAGCGTCTACCAATCACTCCACCCGATTTGATTCTCATATCTCGTGCCCTCCGGAGTCAGGATCGTCAGGTATACTTACGTCCGAGATGTTGCACTAACCATTGCTACTTTTCTTCTGGTGCTGCCTAATGGGCTCCGTTTATTTTAGCTCAATCAGGAGACAGTTGGTGTGATAGAGTTGCTCCTATGTCAAGCTCACATCAACGACGGGGATCTGATTCATTTGTTCATTCAAGCGATTGATGTTGGAATTTGCTGTTTCGACCATGCTGCATGCAGTAAAATGTGCAACGCAATAACTCGGGTATGAAAACACGCAAGGAACTAAACGCTTGCACTTTGTTTCTTCAAACTCAGCTATACTATCCTTTTCAGGTAACTGAATATTTCCTTTCACTTCTTCATCGCATGAAAAGTTCTGCAAAACAGAACCAAGCTTTTGATAATGCTATGGTGGGTTTACTTTCCTCCTATGGGAGCACAGAGTTGCGGAATTTCGGACTAATCAATGTTTTGGGTCTTCAGGAGACTTTCAAGAGGGTGGCTTCAGCCATCTTGCTTCACTTACATCCTGGCGGTGTACCCACCCACGTTACTAACGCCCTCGCTTTCCTAGTCTCCTTTGTCGAGGTGCTTCTGAGTAACGAGACTGAAAATGGTGCGCTTTCACTCTGCCCTACTTTCCACTTTCTTTTGAATAACCTCTTTCTTGCTGCGGCAAAGCAGATTCTCTCTACCACTCTCCCCCTCACCAAGTGTGTGGCCTCAAAGAAGCCCTTATAGCTTTAATTTCAGTCAGATCATCAAGTTTAGTGATGTACCTGTTGTAAAATTAGTTTCTTTTCAGGAGCCTGGTGTAGGTCATTTTCTTTGATTCACTCAAGTCAATGGTTTGGGTTGACTGTGAGAAATGAACTTGATTCAAAGCTTTTCGGAATTGGCAGTTATGTTTATCACTGTATTCTTTCCGTAGGTCTGTCTCAACCTCTCATTCTCCTGTGCAGTGCTATGAGCGAATTGACGGGTGGTTTTGATGAAAACAACGATAGGTCGGCTGAGATTCTCCTCACTTCTCTCATGGCCTGTTTGTGGAGCACTTTCTCCAAAGACAGGGATAATGCCCAAAAACTGATTCTTCGGTTGGGTTTGCTCAAGTACATGGTGTGTTTGGTCATCCCTTAACTGTCGCCTTATTGTCTGTTCACACAGTTGGCTTTCAGGTGGATTGAAGCTGGAAAGATGGCATGATCCTAGTACCCGCAAATCTACTCAAAATGGATCTCTAGGGTTAAGAAAACGACTAATTTGTCCAATTCACTCAATGCAGTTTTTTTTTTGATGATAGATGCGACTAAGCCACGATGGGATCATCGCCATGGAACTTGTAAATCACAGTATAGATTCTGCTTCCGATCCAGCCGATGATATTTCGACTAGTATTAGCACCAATGATGGTTTTATTGAATGCAGCAAAGCTGGAGCTATTAGACTACAAAACAAAACCATCTGCACTATAGAAACCTACCTCCCTTGTTTGGCTGTGGCGAAAAGCGCTGACAGAGGTTGGGCGGAGTGTGCGACCCGACGTAAACGCGGTTGGAGGCCACCTGGTGCTTACGCTGCTGGCAGCACCATCATTGTCATCGATGGAGATAGAGCTGGGAGGAGGTGATGTTGGAGTAGCCCTTCTGGCTACCAGCGGAACAGCTGTCAGGGCAGTGGTCGCAGTACACCATCTGCTGTCCATCCTCAATGATCAAATTCGTGTGGCTGAGGCGAGTGGGGACGGTCTCCTCATGGTTTCCGTTACTGGACCCTTCTATCCCCTCCTCAACATCATCCGCACCCTCATTCACGACCCTGGGCACTGCATGCCCTCAAGGCGAGTCAATACTGACTCCATTACACTACGGTCGCATAATTGTTTCGTTGTATATTAGTCTGTTTTTCATAAGCTGCTTTCGGAATTCGTTTTTGTGCTACTCATATGATCTTGCAATATGATTTTACTTAAGCAATTACTTTAACCGAAAAATCTTAGTCATTGGAGTACCAACGACCACTGCCG